ATTGGGATTCATTTGTCTCCTCCCCGAGAGACTGGAAGAAGGTCTCCGCTGCATCGACTCACTCAAAGTTCACGACGACCCGACGATATACACTCCTCTCCGGAGAGCATAGAGCGCCAAATTCTCATGTCATATCTGAAACCGCGAGGAGAATCGCGGATGGATGAGAATATATCTTATAAATCTCATCTCGCTCAGGCTCATCGCTGGTTGGGTTTTCCGTTTTGAGTTCAGGCCCGACCAAGCGCGAATTTCACTCGGTGAGCCGCCGAGTTATGGAGGATCTGATGACGAACAAAGCGGGGAAACTCCTGAGAACGCAATTTTCGAGTGAAACTAGCGATGCAATTCAAAGCTTTTTTGTTGCGTGTCGGTCGCGAGAACCTGCGGAAACTTTGCGGTGGAAGTATTTTTGTTGAGACAGAGCGAGGATTCCCGTTGGGTTTCCGAGCGCATGGAATTCGGACCGGAAATATTTATCGACCTGGGGAGCCGAAGAGCTTCGCCAACACGATACTCGTGTGAGCTTGCTACGAAAACGGTATCAGTTCGCCGGAACGTTCCCCGCTTCAGCTCGGGAATGTCGCGAGTGGAGCCCGAGTTCTGCTTGCTCAGAATTCCTGTTTCCGAAAACGGAGTAGTCGGTCTCGCCGGTTTTCTCGCCAATCTAATTGGGAGTGACTAAGTCCTCCAAGTCCGCAGGGGGGGATTGCTCCAGACACGAGTGCGTACGGGAATTCGTGCCACAGGCAGAAAACATAGTCCGCGGGACTGAGCTAGATCTCTCGAGCAGGATCTCACTGTTCTGCTGGAGAATAAGGACTTCTGCGACGATGTTCGTCATCGGCACCGCTATACATGCCCGTGGAGCGGCCATCCGGAGGAGCTCCGTCAAGACTTTCCAAGGGAGAGGTTGGTGGCCATTCAGATGGAATCGCACGAGCGGATGAGCAGGAAATTGCAGGAATAAATCTGCGAACACGGTTGGCATGTTGTCGAGTATCGCCAAGGAGTCAGACGTCTTCGCGGAAAAACGCGAGAGCGCAATGAGTGCGATCGATTCCATTGGACGTACAACTGTCGCAGCCCAGTGCGAGCCGCCGATTGCGTACGCTCGATGTGCAACAGGTTATCGCCCGACAGCGGTGAGCTGCGACTGGCTGCGCTCGGACAGGAGCTTGCAATCGAGCGGATGAGTTTGCGTTCGGCAGCGTCGCCCGAGTGGAAACTGCATAATTCTTTCTCCCGGCTCAAGATTGCGGCGTATCCATTTTCTTCATTATAATACCCGCTCGAAGACCAAGTACAACTTCGGTCGGGAGGCTCCACTCATACTCGACCATAAATTATTAGTCTCCCAAATAGCGGCCCTCCGCAGATTCCCACCCGTGAATATTTATGCGGGCATATCAAGGGACTCAAACTCGGTCTCGGCACAGATCTTTGGGTCTTGACGGGACATCAACAAGCTGTTGTCCGAATGCCGCTGTCCTTGGCCGACCCAGGGTGAGGTGGGAGGATAGGGTCAAAGAAGCCCCGAGCTCGTACGAGAGACCACGACCGGTGAAGCAAAGAACTTCTGGGACGAGGAATTGCGAAAGTTTGCTTCCCTCACGGAATCTCAAAAGTATAAGCAAGCAGACGAACTCGATTTGCAACCTGGGAACACGAAACAAGCACATGCCCTGCGAGAGCATAATACCCCCTGAAATCAAGCGGATTATAGCCTCTCAAGACAGCGAGAAAGAGAGACGGTAAGCTTCACTGGCAAGGTGTTAGAGCCCGGGGTAAGCAGTAGGTACAAGCGAAAAAGAAGGAGGAGCTGGAGGAGAAGAACTAGAGAAATAGTACGCTGACAGATAGACAGACGGACAGTCAGACCGACAGAGCGAACCGCCGACCAACAGGACGACAGATCGACCGACCGACAGATAGATAGTAGAAAAGGTGTTTCCCGGGCTGAGGAACGACCGAGGAGCTGCTCACCTCGCGCATGCGCAAGCGTCGGGTCACAAGGGGGCTGTTGAGAAAGGGTCTGAAGCGCGGCCAGCTCGAGAAAGCAAGCGGGTGCCTGGCGACTCTGAAGGTGAACGGCGCCGAGGAGACTGCGGTATGGTATCCCCAGGCGTCCGGTTCTCCATTACCTTTTCCCCTTTCCCCAGTTTGTTTCCTTGTTCTTACCTCACTCACCACGCTGGCTGCCGGGCTGGGTAGCGCTGCCTTCTCTCTCTCTCGAATGACCCTTCCCCTCGCTCTCGTTCGCTCGGGCATACCCTCCCCGAATGACCACCTGCCCTTCATCCCTCTCCCATTTCCCTCATAGAGCCCCCCCGGCCCCTATGTGGCGGCCCTGAAGCGTGAGGGCGTCTCCCTGAGCCGCTGCGACTTGTGATCGAAGTCGTGGTCGCGGGGGACGCCGTACATGGGGAGGGGGATGTGGAAAGGATTTTCTGGAAAGGGTAGAAACCATTCCCCCTACGTGGCGGAAAGTATCAGTGGCGCCTGGACCGGGCCGGCTGCGGCACATGAACACATACCGCATGCGATAGGGCCAACCACATGTGGCTGCGTTGAGTCGCGTGTCCGTCGCCGCCGCCGTCGCCGTCGAACTGTTCGTTCGTGCGTGCGTGTGTACGAACGAACGAGCGCGCGTGTTTGCGTGCGTGCCTGCGTGCGTGAGAGCGCGCGAAGAAACTCGCTCACGCGCGGGTACGCACGCGTGCGGGCATCCACGCGTGCTGGGCCGCGAAACTTCGTCAACTGACCGTGCGACGGACGTGCTCCGCGCTCCGACCGACAGCGATCATTGGCAGTATTTGTCATTGAAGTTCTGCTCGCAATCAAGCACAACATCGAGGCGTCGACTCCAAGGCACCGATATTTCTCCGTTGGACGAAACGAAACTCGGACACACAGACCGATAGAAGAAGGGATAATCAAGACAACCGGAGACTACGGGCCGGAGAACAATCAAGAAACCGACAACGGAGGAGCAAGTAGGAATAGAAGCATCGTCTGTGAAATCCACGTCTCATAATCTCGCCGTGTCGACGAGGATTGATCCCGTTCCTGTTGAAATCCGAAGCCACCATGAACGGATCGAGGTTCCGATTTCAGAATCGAGACTTTGCGCCAGGATGACCGTTCATCGCCTCTGCAACACACCTGATTGATTTGTTCACGCTTTCTATCTCGCTAGGTCGACGCAAAAAACAGAACGCCTGCTTCGTCGCTGTGAAGACGTCGTAGGGCGAGGTGCGGCGTGCGTCCGCGAGGCGCGCCGCGAGACTCCTAATTTCTCTTTTCGACGACTCGGATACCGGCGGCCCGCCTGCATTCTGAGCATAGGCGCAGCTTTCGGAAGAGAAAACCAGGAGAGCTCGGTGCCGCGCGGGGTGCAGGTGCGCGCGGTACAGGTGTGCGGAGGTACGAATTTCCTGCTCTCGGGATACTGATCGTGTCGACAACTCGGAATATCCTTCATTCGTAGTAACGTATCAATACGGATAGACGACTCGAATCTCCTACTTGCTCGGAAAATTGTAATCGACGAGGAAATTGAACACTTGCACTAGCAGAGCAATCCCGAGCGGAGCACGGGACTCATCCGGAATTCCAGGCTACCTTCGAATACCCAGCAAACGAAACCCGTTGGAACGCGTTCACCTCGAAAATTGCTTCGTTCACTCTGCCTATGCGTCTAATGTTCTCTCTGTTGTCACCGTTCTGATCATTGTCACAATGGTCGCAATGATGATGAGGTCGACACCATGATTATTAGTTGTGATTTCTGAATCGAATCGAACCGGGACCTCACAAGCTCAAGACCTGGGTAAGAAACTCTGGTCACTTCAATTTTCGGGAAATTACATGAAATTTCTTCCAAATGAGATTTCGACCAGTTCCTTTCATCCTACTTCCCTTATATGCAAAGATGGACGACTCGAACCGCACTTCCCTATTAGATCCCGCATCCTCTGATAATAGTTCGAAGTGGAAAGTCATGAGATTGTCTTCGCTTTCGGATCGAAATCCGAGGGTGAATTTCTGATGTCGATATTTCTCCACAGACGCCAGCGAACCACAATTCGACTACAAACGGAGTGTGTGACAAAGAGTGCAAGTGCATTAAAGTTTGATTTCCTAAATTTTCTTTCTTCGAGCAATCCACCCATCATCCGGATAATCCCCCAGCTGATTTTACCCTCTGATCAAAGTATCCGGATTCAAGTCGACTGGAGCGACCGAAACGGCGGATCATCAACGATCGGAACTTCATCTCATTCGGAAGTGAAAAGGATATCGGTGGACTGGCTCATGAGGAATAGGAGTTCTCTGGATCCAGGATCGACTCTGTGCTCATCAAAAGTGAATTAGAAGTGAACTTTGACTTTCTTCGACGCTTGTCACGAGAAGCGAAAGCATCCACAGAAGTGAAAACGAACCTGACCACCTCTAGATAAGTTCTCCTGCAACATAAATCCATGACATCAGGAATTTCTTGAATCTACAACACCATCGTGGAAGCATCTGGTGTGGAAGAAAAGGGCAAACTAAGAGAAGACTCGGTTTGTGAGATGTGAGCACCATCTACCAGTCTGCCTCAAGGCGGATCCGTCCTGATGTAGATAAGAGGTGCTGCAGGTTTTTTGTGAGAGAAAAAAACTTGCGGATTTCGGCTTCCAACTTGTTCTCGCTAACTGCCTCGTGAGCTAGGCGCTTGACACTCGCTCGCCCGTACTGCGGCCTGTTCACCTTCCGGTTCTCTGGGTACCACCATCTAGGCCGTCACGACTGGAACCAGAAACGAATCAGGGAGCGGAAAAAAATCAAGAGATACCCTCTCATCATTCATCGTCATTTTCATCGGATTGATCATCGCAGGAGTCGCGGTCACCGCCTCCAGTGTCGCCGCCGAGGTTGACAACTGTGAACAAAATTAATTTCATCTTCATCCGTGACGCGAGCCGCCGCTCGTAGAACCTTCCGGAATGGTGACCATGCCAGGAGGCCGCAGGGGCCTTGTTGCCCCGCAAAATACCTTCCTTGAGAATATCATCAGGAGGTACAATTCGCTACGTGAGTACAAATTTCGAGTTTGCTCCTTCGTAACTTATCGGCGCCCAATGGGAGCGATTAGGAGTGAATAATGGGATTTCTGTTCGCCAATGCTCTTATAATTTGTTCGTTTATATGGTAATTTCTAACAATGATTGTGACCGTGATTTCCCTTCCGCGCAAAAATCCCTATAAAGGAGGAGCCGCGGAAATGTACCGAGCCACGCGTGTGAGAACGTATTCGCGATGGCGCGCGAAGTTCCCGACGCCAGTTGGACGGCCGGTCCAACGGCTTCCCAGAACTCCGGAGGTCGCAAGTCAGAGCCACCTGCGAAACTTCGGAGAAGGCCAGGGCAGTCTGATTTTTGTCATCCGCAATGCGATTCGCCGCTAAGCCCCGCATCCCGACCCATTCCTTGAAGGGAACGGGGGAATCGCGCGTTGTGTTCGCCCAATGAATGAGCGGTTGCGCCTGTGTCGAGCTCTACTTCTCAGTTGGGAAAGGCTCTGGAGTCTGGAGTCATCTTCGCTACCTCGTTGCCTTCCGACCTGCTGAGGACTCAGAAGTGTCCTTCGAGCGATTTATCCGCCTTCGGGTTCTACTTTATCTAGGATCTCCACGGTCACCTATCTTCATATCCCCGCCGAGATTCCCTATCGGTTCCGTGTTTCCGAGAGGGACGTCAATCAATTCTGTGACCCGATCGCGCCTGCTTACCGAAGGTTCGAGCTTCTCCGCGGCGAGGCCTCGGACAAATTCAATCAGACCTTCAAAATGTTTCCTGGAACGTCGGCGAGCAAGGCTACTCATGTACAAGAAGCGCTTCCCGACCATAGCAACAAGAGCAGCGATGCTCGCGACATTGATGTTGCTGGCTGAGCCTTTGATGAAAACGACGAATGCCTCTGTCGTTTTTTCCCGCTTTCTTCGAGTTTATGGCTCCCGCGGAAGCGTCTACACAAGAGCGGCAGACATCGTTGGCGAGCGGTACTATTCGTGGAAGTGACCAGACTATTTAAGGATGCTCCCGCCTTCCCGCGTTCCCATCGAATTACATTTGAATGCTCGAGAGAAGCTAGCTACACGCGGGTTTGTTCAGTCTGGGCGACTCGGCTCGCGAGCAGCGCGGCGGAGTTCCGCTTCCGTGCACTTCGAGTTGCTGAAGGGGAGAAGGATATCGCAAGGTCTAGCTTCGAGATGAATTAATCGTCCGTCCGCCACCATACGATTTTCTCCCGGGGCCTATCCCCGAGCCGGAATGAGCTGGAATAACGAATAAGCAGAACACTGCCGTGGAGTTGAGAGTCTCATACAGCTCCGAGGATCTCCTTCCGATGTCAAAACCAGAAGTAGTGCTATTCCTCTCGGGGAGGCCGGCTGCCGCTGATCTGGTTTGTTGTCTTTCCCGAGGAGTCTGTTGAGGACGCGTCTTATTCCTGATGTAGTCGAGGAAGACCTTCGATCCAGCTGACGACGCATGCTCTTCAAGTCGAGAGGCCCGGGAATCGAGCCCCGTTTTGGGGAAAGTGAAAAACTAACTTCGATTCTCTGGAAGCCACCAGCGGATCCGAATGTTCCGTTTTATCTCTGTCAGTCACTCGGTCAGCCCGTGATAATCTCGTTGTATAATACGAGGGAGGCTCCGCGAGCGTTGACGATGACGCTTCTGACGACAGAAATTCCCGCAGTTTTTCACAATGGAAACATCCGCTCGGAATGCCGCTTGGGCCGCTCGGGTACGAGACGGCATATAGTACGTCGTCTCTTACGCAGCGAGGGATGTCATGTATGAAGGGAGCGCGGAACGAGAGCTGGGTCCGTAGGAACGTGATGCGCGAAATTCCTCAGCTTCTCGCCTCAGCCAAACGACCAAGAAGTCTTTTGTTTTGCCGCAAATCTTTACGTTCCGCTGCGACGATAGCGAACCGCAGCTCGTTTTTCTTCTGCACATCTCCAACACGACAGGGACTGGAACAAGACGTAGCTCGAGCCAGAGCCGAGTTGCACAAGCTCGATTCTGGCTTGGATCAACGAGATCGATAGGAGAGGGGATTCGACAGAAATGATTGAGTGAAGACTCCCTCGAGAGAGGCAGAGGATATGGGATGCTCCCATCGAGGTCGCTCAAATCCAGGGATGGATCGCAAAAAGAAACGCGGGGGGATGGAACCCAGGTAAGCAGACGTTCGCGCGTTCAGAAGCACTCGAATCGACAGACTAGCGATTTCCGAGAAGGAGCTCGTGGTGTGGCGAGCCGATCGTTCTATTCGGAGGAAAAAATCGGAACCCGCGAGGAACACTCCCGCGGAACGCGAACAGCCCCGCCCGCAGCGAGGGATCGCTCACCAAGAATGCAGCTTTCCGACCTTCCTCAAAGAGTCGATTTGATCGGCACGAGCAGCGAATCTGTTTGAATTCCAAGGGGAGAAGCAACAAGTATAAGTTCGCCGTCGAGCCATGGAAGTTCGCTTCCGCAGTGACAACTCGAACCTCGATGAGGGCTCGGACACATAGAAAGATAAAGCTCCGTGATCCAAGGGGGAGCTCTAGGTGCGATGGACTTTTCCAGTGAGCGGGCCCGACTAAGAATGACGGATTTTCGCTTGGAATTCCGTAAATCGATTCCTTCGTCAGGGCACAGAATAATCATCGACGCTCAGCTTCCCCTCTGAATGTTACTCTCTACTCATCGGAAAGACCATTAAGATCCAGCAGGGCTCGACTGGATTCTTGGAGTCGTCGATCCATGAAATGCCGGATACAAGCTATCTGACTGCGAGGACGGAAGGCACATTGGAGTTTCCGAATTAAGAGGATTGAGATGTTCCAGAGTCCATTCGGATATTCGGACGGAGGTCCATCCGCCCGCCCGCTCGCTCGCTCTCTCGCCCGTTGGCTCGCAGAGAGGCAGCGGGGAGACCGAAAACACGGCGCACGGAAGTGGGTTTTTCCGGAAACCGCCTGTGGGCCGAGCGAGCTCCAGACGAGCGTGAGCCAGATGCAAGCAACGACGAGATAGAAGCGAGCACAACATGTATAATTTTGTGAGCACAGCTCCCACGGCGTGCGCTCCATCCGACTCACGTCGTCGTTGGAAACCATAGGATTCGGATGTCAGCAGCGGAAAACTGCTCCTATCGAGACCGCAAGCTCTGTTTTATTTTCGGCGTGAGAGCATGACGTTGTTTCGGTGGCTGCGGGACCCTTGAGGGTTCGTTTATGATCCAGAGTTACGTATGGGCAGTATTCCCGATACGAATTTTACTGCCCCGAGCGTCTAAGGTATAGATATTCGAAATACGATGCCAGACCAGCAATTATCAAGTCCTCATCATGAGATGAGCCTTCGTTCCTCCATGGAGCCGTCTCCACGGAGATGATTTCTATTGGGCATTCTGTGATCGCAGGAAGTAAAGAGATGGTGTCGATGCAAAGCACACTGACTCGGGATGCGGTTCTCTGCGCTGTGGTTCCCGGCAATCGTTGATCGACCGCTGGGACTTGTAGCGATGCTTCACAAGAGACGTCGCGCAGTGAAACAACATCGAAATCCGATCGTGGATCGCGAAGTCTAGAAAGTGCCTCTCAACATTGGATCGAGCGGAACACCAAGTCTCTGACCGACTCTCTTTCCTATGTGACCGGTCCCCATTTCCATCGGTCCTGCCGAAGAGTGCCCAAAGACATTTCCGAATCATGACGTAGGACAGTCGAGAGCGAAGGCAGAGGGCTCCCGCTGAATAGAGCATAGTTCGCTGCTATCATGGCAGAATGTATCCGTGTTGTCTAGCAACGAGTCCCCTCCGACGCCCTAGTCTCCGTGACCGGCCTCACCGTCCCCCGTGGGGTCCTTCGACCCGTTCGGTCGCTCGCCCAATGGGTCGGCCCTCGAACGCTCCCTTCGCCACCCCCTATCATCCGCCCCAGCCCGAGCGCCTCCAGATTGGAAGCCTTCGCGTATATGCGCCTGTCTGTGGTTTGTAACTCTGCAATCTCAAATGTCGTGCTTTTTTTCTTTCTGCGGTTACGGAAAATGACAAGCCAGTAGGAGTCCCGGGTCGTAAGCGCGTATGTCAGAGAGTCGTGGTTGCAGTCGAAACTTGACTGTCCGCTCGCGGGGCTCCGCGAGTCAGGGTCACGAATCGCTCCGAATAGAGGACTCCCGTCGCCCTGTCGTTCTACGGACTTGTTCCTGAGGTTTCTTCCTCTCGATCTGGCATTTTCGAGTCGGAGTTTTTTTCTCGCCTCCTCGTCGAGAACCTATGATGTCAAAAACGTCCCTCCAGCTCTAGGTGTAGGGTGTACCGCCGGACTTGATTTCTCGCCAAAGTCACCAGAAGGAGCAAGCACGGTGCCAAAGTATCAGCTGATGATTGTTATCCACCGCATCAGCCTTAAATAGTTCATAGATGATTCCCTCTCCCGAACGTTTGCATCGCCTCGACGTATCCGACGAAGTATAAAATCGGAGACACGATTCGCGTCCGGAGGGCCGCGTTGCCGGCCCGTCTCCTGACATGGTCTCGACAGGTCAGCGACAGCAGAGATCAACGCGGGGATACGCTAAGGACAAGCTCGCCGAGAGCGTCGACAAGGACGGCGGAGAGGTGTTGCAAGCAGAGTCTCGGGAAGTCGACACCGTTTGGACTCTTCCCGTCGTTCGGTCACTCGTTTGATGCTTGCTTGCTTGGCTCAGTCAGTCTTCCACTTGGTGGAGAGGCCAACCAGCCTGCGGAGAGCTCCATGGAAAACAGGTGACCCATCGTGTTGCTTCAAACGACAGCAAGCTAGCGAAGAGGGGGCGGGGAATGAGCAAGGCTCGAATCAGTTGGTTGTGCGGCGTTGGCCGCCAAAAAGCCAATGCTCAGAGCCGGTACGTTCCGTTCGTGGGCTCAGCGCCGCCAGTCGCCTCGAGTCTTGCGGTATCCTAGTGTTTTGAATTTCAGATTTCGGCCCATTTGCAAAGAGGCGAGTCGGGAAACGACAGAATCGCTAGATCTCACGCAGATCCCACGGCCGT